TCAGCTCGTTCCACTCCCTGCCTTGGGCAGGGACATCTCCCACTAGACCAGGTTGTTCAGAGCTCCATCCAACCTGGCCTTGGACACTTCCAGGGATGGGGAAGAAGCTCATCAAAAGCACAGTGTAAACCAGGGACAGAACTGGGAAGGATTCTAGGCCTGGACCTGTTCCTAGTGTTGGAAAAACAAGCTTCTGAGAGATTTGAATAGCTGAAAAGGAAAAAAAAAAATGTGATATTCATAGATGTGTACTGTTATAGCCACAGAAAGTCACTGCTCTCAGAGGGTCTCTCCTTTCATATGCTGTGCACTGGAAAAGGTGGCAGTGGAAAAGGTGGGAGAAACATGGTCCCTCTAGGAGAGAGCAGGTAGTTTTTTAAATTCCAGTGTTATGACACATGGTAATGCCTAGGAGGGTGGTTCAGTGTGAGCTTTGAAACCCTTTCACCCAGTGCCATGATGTGAAACTTTTTTGATATCCATGTTTTTGATAACTAACCTGAGCCATGGATAGGACAAGGAGGGGGTGGCTTCAGCTGAGGGAGGGTAGATTTAGATTGGATATTAGGAAGGAATTCTTCCCTGGGAGGGTGGGCAGGCCCTGGCACAGGTTGCCCAGAGAAGCTGTGGCTGCCCCTGGATCACTGGCAGTGTCCAAGGCCAGGTTGGATGGGGCTTGGAGCAACCTGGGCTGGTGGAAGGTGTCCCTGCACATGGCAGGGTTTGGAAAAGGAAGGTTTTTAAGGTGCCTTGCAGCCCAAACCATTTACTGATGATAACTCGATGCTGCCACATGCTCAGTGGTCCTTTAGTGAGGTATTTGAGATGGCTGTGATAGACCTGAACCATGTGAGTTTGTGTCCCCAGCAGCCCTAAGTGTGGCTGTGGAAGAGGAGATGTTTGCCTGCTGTCAGTCTTCTGGCCTGGAACCACCACGTAGCCTGGGTTCAGCTTGTGGCCCTTGGTGGAGTGTCTCCTCCAGCTTCGAGGGCCATCAGAAGTCACTGCCACGTGTGGCAGCAAATTTAACAACTGCTGGTGTTCGGGAACAAAAGGGGCCCCTGAAACAGCAGTGACTTGTTTTGGTAGGTCTGTTTAGAAAACACGATCATACCCGTTTGCTCAATTTGCATGTCTGAAAGGCTTCTGCTCGGTTAATTGGTGAAATTAATTTCTGCTGTTGTAAACAGAGAGCTGTATTAAGAGCAGAACTGAAGTAATTTTACTTCACATTATTCCGTGTCGTGGCACATCGTTCCTTTCTTACTCAAGGCAATTCATTTCGTGGTGCTGTCAAGTGATACTTGGTGTCATCTCCCGTCAATGCGGGCGGTTTTGATTTTTCCCCCCCCTCGATTATTTTAGCAGTTTGTTTAGTCCTGTAGATAATGGTCAGTGCCCTTAAGTTAGTCGAATTAACACCTCGGAGCCGCTGCCGGTGACCTCGGGATGAAAAGCGATGGGAATCGACGTGGGGGGAGCGCGTTTTGGTGGCGGGAAGGGGGGGATCATTGATGGATTGGCGCATCCCGGCTGCGGCCGCATCGCCCCAAAGCTGACTAAGATGGAGCTGCCAGTTAGTGCTGACTGCGGGCCATCACCTCCGTGGGGGATAGAGCCTGGGCAGGACTGGGTCCGAGGAGTTCCTGGAGCCGGGATACAGCGTCCTGTCCCGCTCCGCTCCGGCTCCTGCCAGCCCCGAGAGGCCGCTGATGCCATGCAGCCCCTCCATTCCCAGAGGGAGTGCTCCGGGATGCGGGGTCCTGGTGGGGCTGGGGTGGGTCCTGCTGGCCCGGGTGGGCCCTGCTGGCTCGGTCCCCCGTGCCGGGGAAGGGTGGGGGAGCCGTGCCAAGCCGAGCTGTTCGCCGGCGAGCCCCCCGGTCCCCACTCGCCCGCAGCTCGCGATCGCTGGCAGGTTTCTCTCACTGCACCTCATTTGCATCTGGGACATCAATTAGCATGTTTGTTGAGGCTAATTGAATGAAACTCAATCATAGCTCTTAATTGCTTGACTATGTGAAAAGAAATCACATTAATGCAGCTAATTAAGTGTATGGCAATAGATGCAACATAATTAGGAGCGAAATGTAGAAAACAAGCGATGGCGAAGGTGTGGGGGACCGGGCACCAGCTTCTCCTCTAAGCCACATGTTTGGGGAGGGGTCCCTCTCCTTTGCTGCTTGCTGGTTTTTTTTTTATTTTATTTTATTTTATTTTTTATTTTTTTTCCCCCTGCCTTGCTGAGTGATGAACCCGGACAAGTTGAGAAGAAAAATGCAAATGGATTCACAATTACTACTTTTTCAAGCTGTTGAGGGGCAGAAGATGGCACGTCTGGGGTGGCCCACTGTTGAGTGGGCTCTAGGGACTTGTTAAGTGCTGTTTAAAAGTACTTGGCTTTGAATTACCCTCATGCCTTGTTAAAGGGTTTTTTTCCCCCTTTTTTCTCGGATCAGCATTTTCTACAACTAACATCTCGGGGAGTTATCTCTGTACCATTTGCATATCAAAATCTGGCTTGCTGTCTTCTCTTTAACACAGCATATTCCAGATGACAGCAAGACCCTCATCTGTTCTAATCTGATCAAACCCTCCATTGGGCTTCTGAAGCCGCCACATTATTTTGTAGTTTGAAGTTTCTATTCCCCGAGCGGGATCTGACGGAGCTCCCTCCGCCGGCTGGGAATGCGGGCCTGGCCCCCCCCTCCTCGGGGAGGGGTGGGGGGGATGCACAGATTATCGCTATGCATTCTGCACACAATGAAAGAGCCTTTATTATTTACATTTGATATATCCCCATAAATATTTAAGCTGACATTAATACCGACGTGGCATCTGTTGTGCTCGGGCACTTCGGTCTAATAACGCTGTGGCTGCAACGCATTTATTTTCTGTTTGCCAACATTCGCTTGCTCTCTCAAATGGTTTATGGCTCACCTTAAGCCTGGTTCAATCCCAATTAAAAGGGCTTTAATAACGCCCTGTCACATCTCAGGAGCTGGCTGGGAAGTCTGGAGAATCTGGAATAAACACCTCCTTGCGCGGTGGAAGTGGAGCGCTCTGTGGCTGTACGTGAAATAAAACATGTCTATTAGAAAAGAGCACGTGCTGAGGTTTAGTCACTCTCTGATTAAGCCTCACTTTAGAGCCCATAAGCAATAAATGCTCAATTATCTTCTGCTTATTGTATTTTAATTTGTGAAGAACTGACACCGAACAAGAAAGTTCCGCCAACTTGATAATTTATGGATGGAACGCTTTTGTTCGTCTCTGTCTAACACCTAGTAAGGGAATTTTCCTTAATGGATTGCCTTTGTTTCTTTTGGCAGCAGAGCTCTGTGTCCTCTCCCCACGAATTGTTCAGGCCTCACCTTTTACTGTTCTCAGCTAGGGAGACATAAGCTGGTGTGATGGCTTAGTCTGGGGGGTTTATCACGGAATTCTGTTAACTGGGAAGAAATTAATGCCAGTCCCAGGTTTTTGATGGATTTTGAGCAGAGTATTGTAGTTTGCATTGTAAAAGCTGCCAAAGGTGAAAGAATCTTGGTGAGGGAGCTGATTGTTGCCTGCACTGTGGCAGCAGTGATACAGATCTGGGGTACACTCAGGAGTTTTCGTGTGACGTGGGTGCTCTGGTGGTGTCCAGGTCTGTGCAGGCAGTCTGTCATCCAGCAGCTGTCATCTGGCTGAACCTTGCCCTGATGACCTGGAGAAAGGGGAGGTACATCTTAGCTCATGCAGGTGCCCACGGTGTCACCCAGGTCTCTTGTGAGGTGATCAGGTTCTGTCTGAAAAGCAATTAAGACTTTCTGCCTCCCCACAGAAACTGCTCAGGAATTCCATTCCCCTGGTGTCCAGCTTAGCTCAAGAACTTCAGCCCAGATCTTTTCCCAACCAGTTCATGCTGCTGTTTTCCTCTTGGGGTGTTTAATCATGGAGTCACAGACTGGTTTGGGTTGGAAGGGACCTTAAACACCATCCTGTTCCACCCCCCTGCCATGGACAGGGACACCTTCCACCAGCCCAGGTTGCTCCAAGCCCCGTCCAGCCTGGCCTTGGACACTTCCAGGGCTGGGGCAGCCACAGCTTCTCTGGGCAACCCAGATGTCTTTTTGTGCAGTGATCTTGTCCCTTGTCACCCTTGATTTTGCTCTCCTCTGCGTCCCCTCTTGCATGTCCTCTGTAGGACACCACCTCTTTTGTTTCTTTTAATGCCCTCACAGTTGCTCCAGTTTCAAGCACTTTATCTGGAATGTGAGTAACCACTACCCTGTGTACCAGGAAATGAGAACTTTGGTGTCTTGTGGTGTCATTCACCATCTCTCCTGGAAATATCCCAGGATTCCAGCCTCAGTGGCTGTCTGACCTTAATCAGTTGCTTTCTGATAAAAACACCATTTTTATGTGTCTGTTTGCTCTTCTGTTTCTTTCCCCATTTGGGCTTTCCAAACAGGAATTAGCAAAAGCCTTTTCCACTTCTGGCTCTCAGTTTTTAGTGTTTCCTCTAACCAGATGCAATCTGCATGGTTTTTTCCCCTTCTGTGATTTCTCGTGTGAGTGGAGGAAGGGTCTGACATTCTAAGGAAGCAAAGTTGGAATTGCCCAGACCTTCCCCTCTGGTGCCCTTTTGTGCCTGCTGACCCATTTCAGCCAAATCTGAGGAGCAGATAAGGGCATAAAATACTGGCAGAGAGGAGAGACAAGTAAATGTGCTCATGAGGGCCACTTAGCTTTGCCATCTCTCTTTGGGGCCTTTTGGCTGGTGAACTCCTACATGTAGCTCAGAGCAGACTCCATCTGGCAGTTTGAGGGTGGAGTGGAGAGCTCCAGACTTTTGGGATTAATTGTAGTAGCAAGGGATTTGTCAAGAAAATGGAAGGAAGGGGAAAACCATACGGTGGGTGCTGCCAAAGTCTTGTGGAACCAGGTTGATTTAATTCTGTTGTTTGTGGAAATGCCTGTTTGATGTTGGATTCTGGGTCTCTTTTCCCCCTTGCCAGGACTACATGCAGAACGTTCACGGGAAGGAGATCGACCTGCTGAGAACCACTGTGAAGGTCCCTGGGAAGAGGCCACCTCGAGCCACATCAGCCTGTGCCCCCATCTCCAGTCCCAAAACCAACGGCCTCTCCAAGGACATGAGCAGTTTACACATCTCGCCAAATTCAGGTAAGAGGGCGCCGTGCTGGGGGAAAAATGGGGGGAAAAAGGCATTTCCAGTGCCTGCAGGCTGTTGGCACGTGTGACTGGGGTGGGGATGGTGTCTGCTAATAGTGTCCAAGGCCAGGTTGGACGGGGCTTGGAGCAGCCTGGGCTAGTGGGAGGTGTCCCTGCCCACGGCAGGGGAGTTGGAACTAAGTGGTCTTTAAGGTCCCTTCCAATCCAGACTGTTCCACAATTCTGTGATTTACAAATCCACCCCATGTGGAACTTTTCAAGCCCTGGCTGCTGGTGTGTCCTACACAAGAGATTCTCTGAGTAGCCTTCAATGCCTGTCATTGTATGTTTGTTACCTTATACTTGCCAAAACCCTACGTGTTTTCACAGAAATTAACAAATGGGAAGGATTGATGATCTATTAGGTCTAGTACTTAGGAAAAACAAGTGCTGTATGATTTGAAAGGGCTCTTTGTGGCTTCCTGGTGGGATCCACAGCCCTTCTTTCTGCTTTTCGAAAGATTCATAATTTTGGACTTTCCAAGAGCAAGGTTCTTCTGTAGAAAGTCGTTTTAATTAGTTTATGGAAGTAGTTTATAGCTCCTTGAGAGCTCTAAACAAAGAAGTTTATTGTTCCCTGAAGTACTTGTCCATACAGCTGAGTGGATTTTAAAAAATTGCCATTAAGAGAAAACATTTGAGACGATTTATCCTGTGAAATGTGCAGCTCATCCAGAACTCCTAACGGTGTAGTGGAAGTTTCTGTCAGCATGTTTGGGATGGCGTCTCCATAAAGTGCTGAGTGCCTTTTGCATTTCTGAATAACACAGACCCTTCCAGCACGTGCCAGAGACCCATCCACGCACGCTCCTGTCCTCGTGCAGCACCCACTGGGATCGGCAGCCGTGGGAAGGAGCTCGGTTCACCTGGATGTTCAGGAGTCTTCCCTGGAGTGGCAGTGGTTAACCTGATGCTTCCCAGAATCCCAGAATGGGTTGGGTTGGAAGGCACCTCAAAGGTCATCTCGTTCCAGCCCCCACAGCGTCCAGTCGAGGTGTAATTCCCTGTGTTTCTGCGGTGTGTGTTCCCCTGTGTTAGGAGAAAACGGAGTTTTGTCTCTTCCAAACGGGAATGCTGCTGGTTGAGATGGGTTTTTGAAGTGGTGCCGCTGAGCAGACGCCCCTGCAGTTTGCTGTTTAATTTAGGTGACTGGGTGCAGGGAGTGCTTTTGTTTTTCGATATGTTTTGTAATTTAAGGAAGAAAAGTGCTGGGCTGAGTCGATAAACCAGGGGTAAGATGTTCCAATTAGAGAGTTCTGCTTTTAAGCCTTTTTCAACACAGGCAAAAATTACTTGATTGCTCCAGATAAATACGTTTTTTGAAAATATATGTGATAAAATAAAATTTATAGCATGGAATTGTCATGGTTTTGTATATGCTCAGATTGCCAGGTCAGGGGGGAGGCTTTCCATGACAGTGCAGGGCAGACAGCTCTTCCCTGACAGTGGTGGGAGCACTGTGTGTGTGTCCTGGCCCAGCCTGAGGTTTGATCACACTGAGGCAAGTTCATTAGCCCAGAAAGTGCAAATGCTGGAAAACAGCTCTGCTTGTAGACAGTGGATTTCAAATAACACCGTGGGAGTAGCTGGAGCTTCTGTCCTCTCTCTTGGTTTCTTCATCACGTTGCTCAGAAATACTGAAAGACTTTGCTGTTGTTGGTGTCTGGTCAGCATCTGCTGCTTGTTACTGGATTGAAAGCAAACATAAAAAGGAGCTGCTCGTCAGGAAAGTATTACTTAAAAAAAAAAACAAACAAACAAAGAAATGAAAATGAAATTAAGAAAGTGGTAGGACACACTGGATCTGGGAAGTCCTGCCAGCAGCTCAGCTCTGCCTCAGTCCACGTGTCCCTCCCAACATTCCTGTGTTTAGGTGAGGCTGAAGAGCTGCATTGCCAGAGAGGGATTATAAAATAGGGGAATATTAATACTGAAAAAAAAGATTCTCTCCCAGGCTGGGCCTGGTTTGGTAGTCTGAACCTTGCTGTGGTCAGGTATTTTGGTCACAGCTTCTGTTGGGTGGGAGACCCGTAGGTACTCAGTGCTCGGTTCTGCAGTGCCAGGAGGGTGTCTGATGTATCTGCAGCTACCTGTCATGCAGCTAAAAACACCTGCAAATTACCCCTTGCAGGCTGTGCTGCTGTCTCAGAGCTTTTCTTGGCTTCTGTAGGCCTTTAAAGTTGATCACAGGGCTGAACTTGTTCCTGGTTTTTCACAGGGAGGTTTCTGTGCGTGGATGAGGTTTGAACCACACAGAAGGAATCAGCACTTGCTATTTTTTTTTTTTTTTTTAGGCCTGTAAATTCACCATATTCTCAGTGTTGCACGTTGCCTCTTCCCCAGAGCAGTCAGATGGTGCTTATATTAAATGATGTCTTCATTTGAAGGCGTTGGTGGTCAGTGAAACACTGTTTGGAAGCTGCCCCTTAAGGATGGATGTCAGTGCCAGCTTGGCCAGCAGATCTATAGATGAGGTGCCTGTTGGATTCCCTCTAACTGACGTGTTCTAAATTAACTTTTCATGAGTGCTCAGCAGATAGTTTTCTCTGGCTCTTGGTGGAATTTCTTGCAGCTCATCTCTCCCAAGGTGCTTCCCATGGCAGGGTAGAAGGAATTAGGGTGATGCTGTGAATTCAGGAGGGGCAAACTCAGTTATCTGGCAATCCAAGTCGTTCCAGCCCAGCAGGAGGTGCAAGGTTTGCTGTTAGGTTTGAGTTTCCATAGGGGTCACGTGCAGAAGGTGAAGTTTTAAAAGCCTGTCGTTCCTGGCACGTGGAATTTTGTTGTGCTTTGTGGCATTTCTGGTCTGAACACGATTGTTTTTCGGGTTTTAAAGACTTTGACAAGCAGACATATAATAACCATCTCTCAGTGACAGTTATCCCAGTCCATACATGTTTTCATCCCAAACAAAGCAGGTGTCTCTGGGTAATAATCATCTTATCAACAAAAACCAAGTTCCAGTCCTTGAGAATTTCCATTTCAGAGATGTAAAAAGAATGAAGATCTTGATGGGAATAGATGAAGAGAAAAAAACCTCTGGATCTTTACTCTCTCTTCTGGGTTTCCACTGTCACGAGGGCTGGGAAAATCCTTTTCCAATGGCATCAGGTCATAGTCATGGATGGTACCACATGGCCAGACTCATGGTAGGACACTGTCCAAGCTGAAGTGAAACAGCATTAGGGAAAAGGAATGTTTTCTGTGCTCTGTCACAAAAAAGATGAGTGCCTAGAAGGTCAGGCTGCTCTGCTGCTGCAAAGCCAGACCCTGCCTGGAAAAAGGTTGACTTTTAGTTGAAAACTGGCCTCTGGGCTTTCTTGGAGGTGCAATTTGGGGTTTATCTTGAAAGAACTGGGATTCTGTGTGGCAGCCTCTCCCAGAAAATAAAGAGAGATGGGGTGTTGTTCTAGTTGTGTTGTCTATGTTATATCTAGGCTTGTTAACCATGGCTTTAGGAAGGTCACTGTTCTTGTAAGCTAACTTGGTGGGAATCTGTGAGTTGGGGGAAATAGATGTTTATTGCCGTTAATCTAAAATTGTGTTACTTTTCTGGTATCTTAGTGTGCTTAAGTAACTGAAATTTAAATTAAACTTATGTGGCACCGAGCATCATTCTGTTGATGCAGCTCAGTTGGAAGTCCTTCAGAAAAGGATAAGTCTTGGACTTGCTCAGTTCCAAGTTTCTCTAACAATGCAGCAGGGCCAGAGTCCTGTCCATCCCACTGGCCAGTCTCTTCTGGAAGCTGACTCAGCTCTTGCTGACTTCAGAGCAGAAGTTGGGTCCAGGCTTTATTTACTCCCCATTTGGGTTGGATTTGAGCTGACTGACCTGAAGGTGAACTTGTTCCCGAAATCCCTCCCAGGGAGGTCATTTATTTCTTCTCCTCTCCAAACAACCCAAAGCCTGAGCCTGCAGCAAAAGCCACTGATGTAGAAAGTTCACGTCTAAAAATAGCTTATGGTGTAGAGATAAATTGTTTCCTGATTAACACTTCATTTGAATAATTTGGTGCTATTAAATTTCCTTAGAGTAGTGACTGTACAGTATGTGAAGTATCCCAAAATGTGTGAGTTCCAGGCCATCATTAAGGGTGCTAAAGGTTGTTATCTGCTAACTCTGGGTGACATTTCAGATGTCACGGGAACGGCAGCTTCACATTCTTATCAGTGTGAGTTTTCTGGCTGTTATTAACTGTGATCATCTATCAAATCATCGGTGGGTTTTGTAGACCATACAATAATTTTTATTTTTTTTTTTTTAATTGGAGGGCACTGTGAGGATTCAGATGTTGTGATCAGGCTGATGATGAGTAAAAATGTTTTACCAAGCCAGGAACTCACAGGCAGTTACTCCACAGCCTGTAGATCGTGGGTGCCTTTGCAGACAGATGCTAAACCGAGTCCTAAATTCTTGAATGTGCTCTGAATTCTTTACTGGTGGGTGCCTGAGGTTGTGTGCTGGGGCAGTGTGGACTCGGCAGAGCCAGGTTTGATCTGGTGTGGCTCCCACAAGTTGGTTGTTGGGAGGTATTTGTTTTGCAGTCTGACGAGGCACGTGAGGTGATTGGACTGAAGGCAGAAACGTGGGGTTTGTGGATTTGTCACAGACCACAAATACAAGTTTGTGACTTACTTTTGTCGTTAATCACCTGAGTCAATTTTCCATTTGGTTGGGTTTGCTGTTAGCTCAGTGATACACAGCTGCAGCAAATGGAAGGAGAATTTGTCAGTTTGCTCGTTTCCGAGGAAAAAAAAGCCCAATTTGAAGTGCATCCGAGATTTCCCTTTCATCCCACTAGAGGGGGATCCCTCAAGGTCATCTTCTCCCGTTCCTGCGGACTAGGATTTGCTCTTTCCAGAACCAGAGAGCAAGAAACTTGCACTGAGAGTACCCTGTGTCCCTCAATAATGGGGGGAAAAGGAGCAGGCCACGTGTTAGCCTCAATAAA